GGTCCGGGCTGGGGATTCGAACCCGCCACCTTAGGTGTACGTGGCTGGCGCCCTAGCCCGTTGAGCTATAGGCGCCGAGCCATAAATGCTTACTTTCAATGAAGATGTAGGAATGTTTTACTTTGGTAAATGCACTAATATTTTATATAGTGTTTAATAGGTCCTTGATAAATAGTGGTTTTAATAAAAAATAGAAAAAAAGAGAGTAGGCCTGAATGGAGCAAGATTTCTGGATCCAAAACCTGTAGCCCAGGGGAGGCTGAGTGAGCCTGGCTGCCCTCTGCAAACAGACCTTGCTCTCCAGGGAGATGGTAGACAACTGCTGGCCACAGCACGTGGCAGACCTGGTGCTGCTGATGAAGAAACTGAGGCCCAGAAAGTGGCAGGGGCCTGCCCAGGGGATCTGGCCAGCTGCCCCCAGTTATCCCTCCCTGGGCAATCTCCAAGCAGGAAATTCCCTGCCTCAGCAGCTATTCTCTGAAAGCCTTTCTTTTAAGGTAATTATCAGCTCAAAGTGAAACTGTAGGCGGTTGAGCTGAATTGTTCCTTTAGCAGCATTTTGATACATGAATGGGTCTAACACTTGGCAGAAGGGAACATATTGTGCTGGAAAATAGACTAGTTTAGAGGAGACAGAGATTAAACCACCTACCCAGGTCCTTCAGAGACCTCCAGAAGGCAATTTTCAGGCTGGGAACAGACAGAGGAGTATTAGCCTTGAGCCCAAATGAGGCTTCTTAATTATCTACAGATTGGGACTATTCTTGGCTGCTGAGTCGGGGATCACCAAAACAGAAAGATATGACAGAGGGACAGAGGAGGCAGGGATCTCCAGAGGCCAAATGTTCAGAGCGTGGGCTCAGGGGCTCAGACCTGGGTCTGAGTCCAAGCTTTGCTACTATGAGCAGGTGGCTCAACCTCCCTGAACCTCAAATTGCCCATCTGCAACATGGAGCTAATAATAGAATCTATCTTCCATGGGGGTGAAAGGCAGAAAGAGCAGATGTGTCAAGACCACACAGCACCTAACAGGGGCTGCAGGTAGTACACCTGACTTCCGAGGCCCTCGGTTTTGATCCTGGGTAACTTCATGTTCTACAGGCAGAAGATTGGAAATTAGCCCCCTTCTTGGAGCTCAAGGTGCAATTTGGAGGCCGGGGTTGGTGACGGTGACCGTGACCAGCCTGAGCCACTTGATTTCACTCAGACAAAGACGAGAGGGAAAGAGGTCTCTGGGGGAAACAGTGTGACTGGGAGCAGCCCTCAGGGGAAAGGGACTGATGAGTAACCTGGTACCCTGCCTGCCGCAGAGTGATGTTCACTCTGTTTGCTGAATGAATGGGATAAATCCAGCAGTGCTGAGGGCCCTGGGGGGTAGCTGGCCTGAGTTCACAGAAGGACCATGAGGCCTTGCCACATGCGGGACACCAAAGGGAAGGCAGGAGGCCATGTATGGAAGTGGCCCATAGTCCCTGGACATTTCCGAGATGCTGACAAGGCAAAAGACCAGAACCCTCTCCCCCGCCATCTGCCCCCACCACAAGCCTTGGCATGGATGAGCAGAGGATTGTTGCTCTGGTGGCTGGGCCCCTAACTCCTCCTTCTTCTCCCTGCTGTGAGATGTCCATGTCCCCTACATCCCAACTCCCAGCCCCACAGGTGCCACTGCTTCTCTCTGAAGCCCAGCAAACTGCACCCTACGTGTTTGGTATTGGGCAGTGACAGCTCTCTGGAGTGCCAGCCCCTCTACACACACCTCTCCATCATCTGCCTCCCTCCCAGCCCTGGGAAGTGGCACTGGCCCTGTTCCCTCGCTGAGAGCACCCTCTCTTCCTTCCAGAACAAACGGAAGTCATCATGCAGCTCTTCCTCCTCTTGGGTCTGCTGCTCCTCAGCCCTGAGGCTGCCACCCTCCGCCGCCACCATCACTCCCGTGAGATGAGGAAGAAGGTCAAGGAGCTCCCCACAGATCCCACGGCAGCCCCCAGCAGCAGGGATTTCACCTTTGACCTCTACAGGGCTTTGGCCGCTGCTGCTCCTGGCCAGAACATCTTCTTCTCCCCTCTGAGCATCTGTACCAGCCTAGCCATGCTCTCCCTAGGGGCAGGGTCCAGCACAAAGATGCAGATCCTGGAGGGCCTGGGCCTCAAGCCGCAGGAGAGCCTGGAGGAGGAGATGCACAGAGCCTTCCAGCAGCTGCTGCAGGAGCTCAACCAGCCCAGAGACGCCTCCCAGCTGAGCCTCGGCAACGCCCTGTTCACGCATCCCTTGGTGAACGTTCACGATGCCTTCCTGAGCGCCACGAAGACAATGTACCTGGCAGACGTTTTCTCCACTAACTTTGGGGACCCAGCCGGGGCCCAGAAGCAGATCAATGATTATGTGGCAAAGCAAACTAAGGGCAAGATTGTGGATTTGATCCAGAACCTGGACAGTACCACGATCATGGTTATGGTGAATTACATTTTCTTTAAAGGTAAGGCCCTTAGGCTCCAACCTGACTTTCTCTCTCTGTTGTGCTGCTTTTGTCAGTACCCAATCCCCTCACATACAGGAGTGGCAGTCGGTTTAGTCCTTTCTGGTGCCTGTTGACAAACATAAAGCCAGCAAACAGCCACAGGTGAGGGGAGTGCCTTGCTGCTGGGGTACACGGGTCACTGCTTCCTCCCCCTGGGGAGAGGGGGCATCCTCAAACTACAGCCCCCGGGCCACATGCCCCAGGGAAACCTGAGGCTGTCACTTTCACACAGGGTGTGAAGCATGAGGCCCTCATGGCCACCATGCAAAGACACCAACACCACAGCCACTCAGAGCAGGATATGGACCTGGTCAGGAGGGCATAGAGAACATTGCCCAGCCCCCCTTATACGCAGATTCCAGCCTCTTCACCCTCCTAGGGACCAAGACTTATCAAGACAAGGACCTGTTCCTCTAAAGCAGGGGTCCTCAAACTTTTTAAACAGAGGGCCAGTTCACTGTCCCTCAGACCACTGGAGGGCAGGACTGCAGGCCCCGGGACGAGTCAGCTGCTAAGCAGGACAGGCAGTGGCGGCAAAAACACCCAGTGGGCTGGATAAATGTCCTCTGTGGGCCGCATGTGGCCCATGGGCTGTAGTTTGAGGACACCTGCTCTAAAGAGTCTTTTTCCTCCCCTTCGGCCAGAGCTGGCTTTCTAGTCTTTATGTCCCTGACATTGCTTGTAAACTTCCCTGCTCCTATTTTTCCTTCCAGACACTGAACCCCACCATGCCCTGAATGGGGCTTGTCTGAGGACAGGAAGGGGAGAAAAGCAGGGTAGGAGAGGGAAAGGGAGGGAAGAAAAGGGAAGGAGTTAAATTGCTAATATCCCCTTCCCATGGCCACAGATGGTGCCTTAGACCATTAGGGCTGCTGTAACAAAAAGCACAAACCAAGTGGCTTATAAACAACAGAAATTTACTTCTTGCAGTTCTGGAAGCTGGGAAGTCCAAGATTAAGGCACCGCAGATTTGGTGTATAGTGAAAGCTCCTTTCTTGGTTCATAAATGGTACTTTCTTGCAGTGCTCTCGTGTCCTCCCTTGGTGGAAGGAGCAAGGCAGCTCTGTGGGGTCTTTTGTAAGGCACAGATCTCATTCATGAGGGCTCCACCCCCATGCGCTACTCACATCCCAAAGGCCCACTTCCTAATACCATCATTTTGGGGGTTAGGCTGCACCATATGAATTTTGAGGGGCCACAAACATTCAGACAGACCATGGCAGTGAGTATCAAGCTCAGATGCTAAGATTTCTTGTCCCCTTGTCCAGGGCTGTCCTCATCACACCAGACTGCAGAACTGTGAAATAAGCTAAGCAAGGAAGGGTAGGGTGGGATTTACCTTTGATAACTAAAAAGATCAGAAACAATCACTGTAGCCCTTTGTCCAGAAATTCCCTTAGGAAGCAGCCGCAGTAGGAAGCATAGTTGAAGACTTCTCAAGGGGAGAAAAAAAATCACCCAATTCCAGGATCCTAATAAACCTCTCTCCTAAACTTAGATCGAAATCCCACATTGGGAAATGAGTGAAAAACAGAATCACTCACCAGACATCAGTAGCATTCTCAGCCAGCCATATTTTTTATCCTCTTCACTTGGATATTTGGCCTTGAGTAACATCAAAGAGAATATTAAAGACTTTAGGAGTCCAGGGCCTCTGAAGACCAGTCTCCTTGTTTTGCAGATGTGGAAGGAAAGGCCTCAAAAAAGTCCAAGTCTGTCCCCAAAGTTATAAAGAAGTTTGTGTTTATATCCAAAGGGCTCGGCAATCATAGCTACTGAGGCTGCCATACAGAAGATGATCTCTGTTGATCCTGTTTTCTCTCTCCACTCCATTTACAGCCAAGAATTTCTAATTCTTACACAAAGTTCCCTTCCATTTTTCCCCCCATTTTCATCGCTAGCTAAGTGGGAGATAAGCTTCAGCCACAAAAACACCCACGAGCAGGACTTCCATGTGACCCCAGAGACAGTGGTGCGCGTGCCCATGATGAACAGTGAGGACCAGTATTACTATCTCCTGGACCGAAACCTCTCCTGCAAGGTGGTGGGAGTCCCCTACCAAGGCAATGCCACTGCTTTGTTCATTCTCCCCAGCGAGGGAAAGATGGAACAGGTGGAGAATGGACTAAGTGAGAAAACACTGAAGAAGTGGTTTAAGATGTTCATGAAGAGGTACTCTTGGGCCACTCCAGGGCCACCCTAACCCTACATGCCCCCAGGGAGACGCATGCCCCCCCCCAAGGGCCATCCAGCCCAACTGTGATGGGAAGGATTCACCTAGCCAGGGAGCTGCCTCTAAGCCCAGCTAGAGGGACCAGGGCTAGACACTGGGTTTCCTGGGGTGGTGTCAGAATGGGCAGTGACCTCTGGGGACAGCCTAAATCCATGTGAGTTCAGTGAGCCAGTGCTCCAGAACAGTCTAAAGAAAGTCCATTTCTCTTTCCAGGGAGCTCGATCTTTACCTTCCGAGGTTCTCCATTGAGGGCTCCTATCAGCTGGAGAAAGTTCTCCCCAGGTTGGGGATCAGTGAGGTCTTCACCTCCGATGCTGACCTGTCTGGGATCAGCAATAACTCTAACATCCAGGTGTCTGAGGTAGGTCCAAAGGATCTTGAGCATCTGCTTTCGGGGCCCTCCTATTCTATCCTATTCTATCCTATTCTATTCTATCCCATTCTATTCTATTCTATTCTCTCTCTGTCTCTGTCTCTCCCCCTTTCCTCTTTTCCCTCAAAAAGCAAAGGTTCTACCTTATTACTATTATTATTTTTGAGATTGAGTTTCATTATGTCACCCTCAGTAGAGTGCCGTGGCACTCACAGCTCACAGCAACCTCAAACTCTTGGGTTTAAGCAATTCTCTTGCCTCAGCCTCCCTTGTAGCACCCACCACAACACACAGCTATTTTTTGTTTGTTTAGCAGGGTTAGGCTGGATCCAAACCCACCAGCCCCAGTGCATGTGGCCAGCGCCCTAACCGCTGAGCTATGGGTGCCAAGCCTCACCTTGAGTCTTATTCTTCTTCATGCTATGGGAAGCCATATCCATCACCATGCCTTGGGTTAAAGAGTCCTGTAGCAAGCAATCAAACTAAGATTCCAGTGCTAGCCCCTTCACTTACTGGCTGTATAATGTTCAACATACACTTGAGTCTCTGAGCCTCCTTTCTCTCCTCTATAAATTTGGAGGGTCACCTCACTCTGAGAAGTCACAAGAATTCAATGAGAGACACATGTGCAGTCGCTTTCCAGCCCAGTGCCTGGTGCCGAGTAGCTGCTCAATTCTCCCATTTCCCACCTACTCCCTGGCTCAGTTAAATGAAACCACCATTGATGGTGATGCCCACAGGCAGAAAATTTGCTGTCTGCTGTGATGGCTTCTCCCAGTCCCTAGCAGGAGATGACACCAGGTATTCCCCCCACAGATGGTGCACAAAGCCGTGGTGGAGGTGGATGAATCAGGAACCAAAGCGGCTGCAGCCACGGGGATGGTCTTTGTATTCAGGTCGGCCCGACTGAGCTCTCAAAGGGTAGTGTTCAATAGGCCTTTTCTGATGGCCATTGTGGAAAACAGGAAGAACATTATCTTCTTTGGCAAGGTCACCCACCCCTGAAGTGGGCATTCTCCACTGGCATCCACAGTGGGAGCCGGGGATGTGCTATGGCCCATCTGTCCGCTGGTAGCTAGTGTCGAACAAGGCAACATGAATAACAATAAAAAGATTGATACACTAATGATTGCTTCGTCTCACACAATTGCAAGACAATCGCCTTGGTGAACGTTGCAGAACACTCAGTCTTGCCCTCACTTTTCATCACTGAACATTAGCCCTGAGACCCAGAGAAGCTGGTTGACTCACCCAAACTCACACATCATAACACTGGCAGAAAGAGGCCCAAAGTCTACATTTTGGATGCCTATCCCAGTGTCACAAAACCCTGTAGCAGGATGTTTTAGAAGAGGAGGGCCACCAGTAGGCACATGTCCAAGCCTCCTGTCAACAAAAAATGTCAGTTAATCTTGGTTTGGAAAAACACTGGAGTGAAAGTCTAGAATAGGGGCTACTGTCCCAGTTCTGTGACACTGGGTGATGCTGTCCCTCTCTGGACCTCAGTTTCCCCACATATATAATACAATGAAGGATCAGGGCAAAGATCCAATCCAAAGACCCTAGAAATCATATACAAAGACCAGGGCGTATTCTGTCAATTATAGCTGTTTTCAATACAGTCAAGTGCCATTTATCCTTTAAGAAAAAATCCTAGACATTAGGGTGGAAGTGGCCTAATGCAGGAGCTCATCACACTGTAGATAAAGTTATAATCTTATGGGCTTGCCTGGGGCTGGAGAAATTAAAGCTTGTTGCAAACAGTAGAGTATCATTTGGAGACACTAATTACTAACTTTTGGAATTTTATGTCAGCAATAAAACGCAATAAAGCATTTTGCAAACACTGGGTAACATTCTCTTTATGGAGGCACCTCTGGGGATGGAGACATTGATAGCTAAGCATGTTCTAGGCTGGGTGCTGGGCACTTCCCCTGGATGGCCACATTTACCTCTCACAATACTCTCCTGATTAAGGCAACTCTATTAGCCCCATTTTACAGATGGGAAAGGTGAGGCTTGGAGAGGTTGCATGGCTTACCAGTCACACAGCTCATGAGTGGTGGAGCCAGGATTTGCTGCATGCGAGTCAGGGGAATGTGACCCTAGAGCATGTGCTCAGCCCTGAGTTCTACTGCAGAGAGATGAGTGGGAAGCCGAAGACCTAGTTCAGGGTCATCTCAGACACCAGCTCCCCTCAGAACCAGGAAGTTCCCTCCCTGCCTCTACCAAGCCCAATGTGTCTCTTTGTCATTGAAATAAAGGGAGTCACACTTTCAGGAAATCATGAATGAGTATGTGAGTGAGTCCTCCTTCACTCAGGCTGTGCCCTCATTAGCTGCTCGCTCAACCCCAACCCCCTGCACCCCCACCCCACCCTAAAGGTTCTTAGTGTGCTCTCCATAAGGCTGTGCCCACCGTGTGGTCCCAGAGTCTGGACTGTATCACAGATGAGTGCTGTGAGAGCTGAGTACCGAGCACCTACTCTGAGCCAGCCCCTGCCACTTTGCATTTTTTGTCTCATCATCATTTGACAATCCAGCAAGATCTATTTGCTGTCCCCATTATGCCAAGGAGAGCATACATACTTGCCCAAAGTCCCACAGCTGGTGACAACGAGGGACCCAGGTTCTGAAAGCCCAGTGGGCACATGCACTGGCTCGTGGTGGGGCAGATGGCTGCAAGCAGACCCGGATGGCTCATCTGCATTTGTGACCAGGCTCAGGGCAGCTCTTCAGCATGGGACCTCCTAACACTTCTCTCCAGTGTGTTTTTCCCTTGCATCATGCCTAGTCTGTTTTGGCAAATGCTCCTCTTGCTGTTTACCCAGCCAGTACAAGGTCAGGGGGAGGCCCTGTCTGTCTATCATTTATAAGGCTAAGGTCCAGGGCTACCTAAAGTTTACTAGGCAAATAGTCAAAGAGCAGCCACTGTGTGCAGGATCAGGGTGGGCTCCAGGGTAGCTTCTGCAGCACGTCACGGGTCGAAGCACCACGCTGGGGTTAGGGCAGTAGTCATATGAGCCTCGGTACATAGAATGGCAAAGGAGCTCAGAGAGAGACTGACAGACGCTGAACTTTTGAGGTCTCAGGATGAAGTGGCGCTGAGGTGGCTTTGAAGAATGAGAAGGACTTCACCAGACGTCAGACCTGGGAATGGGTATAGGACTTCCAGGCAGAGAGGGTCTGGGGGAGGAACATGGAGACATCAGTCCTGACCAACATTTTTCCTTCTGAAATATGACAAGAGGATCAAGATGATTGTGTTGGGTGTTCAGTGATAGGAGCCCTGAACATGAAGCTGCACATGCCACACCCCGAGTGTCTCAGGACCCCTTAACCACATGAACTCTTCCACTTGCACACCAGTAGATGCCCCCACTCCATCCTCTAGGGGCGCTCACACCCATCCACAGATTAACATCCCCCACTGGGGGAAATAAGTTCTCAGGTCTGTAGGACACTTGAACACACGGCCTGACTGTGCCCCTGGGCCCCTCATGCTTAGCTACTGTGTGACATTGCCAGGGCTATCGTAACAAGGCATCACAATGTGTGGCTTAGGCAACAGACACCGGTTTGTTCACAGTCCTGGAGGCTGGAATCCTAGATCAAGGTATCAGCAGGGTTGGTTGATGGGGCCTGCTCCCTGCATCCAGTCCTAATCTCCTCTGCTCTCCTAATCTCCCACCAGTCCCATAGGATTAGGACCCATTATAACTTCATCCCCTTTTTAGAGCCTCTGTCTCCAAATTACAGTCACATTTCGAAATACTGAGTGTTAAGAGTTCAACATATGAATTTGGGGCAACACCACTTAATTTATAATAACCACACACGCTCTTTGAGTTCTTGTAGCTCTTGCCCAGTTCATTCTTGTTTTTAGAAAGCCCAAGTTTGTTTCCATCAGATGTGGGCTTTGGTAATCAGATAAGCAAATAAACAAACACAGAATTAAAAACTGCAACCAGGGCAATTCGTTTGTCCACAGGTGTTTGTTCAGTATCTTCTGTGTGCCTGGCACCGTTACTGGTGCTGGAGATAAATAAAACAGAAATCCCTGCGTGTGTGGAGGTGACATTCTAGGGTGGTAAGACCACAAAATAGAGAATAAAGAATAAAATAGGAAAGCAAAATAAATTGTGTCAGTTGATGACACGTTCTGTGGAATGTGACTCACATCTAAGAACCAACAGACCTGTTAGGTACCACCCTGGCCAAAGGACCAGCGATGTTGCCATCTGACTTGCCGTCAGGAGCAGGAAGCATCACCTTGGAGGGATCTTCACTCAGACCCATAACCTCAGACTCATCTTGAGAAAACAGCAGCCAATCTCAAATTGAGGAATGTTCAGCAAAACACTTATCCACTCCTCCTCAAAGCATCGAGTCATGAATGGCAAGGAAATCCTGAGCAATTGTCACAGATCAGAAGAGACGCAGTGATGAAATGCAATGCAGTATCCCGGAAGGGATCTCGGAACAGAAAGGGGAATTTAGTGGGGAAGCTGGTGAAATCCAAGGGAGTCTGGGCTGTACCAATGACCACCTTTTACCTTTGATAAATATACCAAGATAATGTGCGATGTTTCCATTTACTTCAGGAGAAGCTGGGAGACACGTTTATGGAAACTTTCTCCTGTCTTTACAATTTTTCCATCTTAAAATAAAAATTTTTTCTAGATAAAATGTTCCAACAAAACAAAGCAATGGAGGGAACAGGTTGAGAGTCACAAAGGAAGAGAACAGGGGACTTCCTGCAGCTGGGGCACCAGGAGGGTCTCTCTGAGATGGTGGTATTGAAGCCGAGCCCTGAGAGACAGGCCAGAATGGACTGGGCAAAAAAGGAGTGTGGACATTGGAGCCAAGCCCCGGAGGTGGGAGGGGCTGTGCTCTTCCCAACATGGAGAGAGGGTGTGTGTGGCTGGAGCCATCAAGGGAAGGAGAGGGTGGAGAGGGAGGCTCACCCCTTCATGGGCCACCATGACACTGTGAGGGGTGCTGGGGCAGGGGTGATAATAATAACAGGTGGCACTTTGAGGCCACATCCTCCATACCAGGCACTGCTCTGAGCCCTTTGCATGTGTGGACTCAGTTCGTGAAGAGGTGACCTGAGAGGCACCTGTGACAGAGGGCTGGGAACAGTAAGCAGGTGACATCACTGGCCCTCCCCAGCTTCCCATAGAGCCACTCCACAGCTCTGACCACCCTTCTCCAAGACCACAAAGGTGGGAGTGAAGGACATCAAGGTGGTGGGTCATAGGCACAGATACAAGAGCTGGGTCCCTTGGCTCCTGGGAAGAATCTAGTCCAGAGAGTCCTTGACACCCTTTCCAATAGTGATTTTCTGTGAAGATGTGTGGAGTGCAAGTAACAAAATGCTCCTGCACATGCCACCTGATTGTTCACACGTGAGCTCACTTACGACTCACCGCATGCTCGCAGCCTTCCGGAGCGCTGCGGCCACTCAGTCCCTAACCCAATCGCCGCCTCTGGCAGAACTCAGAGCTGAGCATGTGTCTGTCACTTTCCTTACATGAACTCATTTAGCCTTCTTGATGCCTCACGGAGGTGGTCCCTGTCACTGTCGGCACTGGACACAGGAAGGACCTGAGACTCAGGGCATCTCCAGAGGAGAAGCCTCTTCTAGAGAGGCTGCTCTGAATTGTATGGCTCTGGTCAGGATAATCAAGGTAACTAAATATCCCTTATCTGGATCCTCCACATATATTAGGGATTCAGGCTGGTCAGGTGGGGGCTTGAAGGATGGGAAGGTAGTGTGGGGATGAAGGAATGTGAGACATGAGATGACATCCCTGCTGACCAGTGTCCTAAGCCCTGTGACCATGAGGGGACACCCTCATGCCCACCTCTCCCCACACAGATTGGGCACAATTATGGTGAGGAATAGAGGAAACCAGGCAAAGCAAGAGGCTGGGACCTCTGACACTCCTGCAGTCACATTTCTGACACTCTGATGGTGAGATCACAGTGTGAGATTGGGATGCTTGTTAAAAACACATATTCCTGGCTCAGTGCCTATGGCTCAAGTGGCTAAGGCACCAGCCACATACACCTAAGGCAGCGGGTTCCAATCTAGCCTGGGCCCGCCAAACAACAATGATGGCTACAACCAAAAAAAATAACCAGGCGTTGTGGTGGGCGCCTGTGGTCCCAGCTACTTAGGAGGCAGAGGCAGGAGACTCACTTGAGCCCAGAAGTTGGAGGTTGCTGTGAGTTGAGATGCCACGGTACTCTACCCAGGAGGACAGCTTGAGGCTCTGTCTCAAAAAAACAAAAAAACACATATTCCTGGCCTTGACCCAGGGAATGTCTGATGGGGTGGAGGGTCCTCTGGGCTTCCCTTGGGATTTGAATGCACACACAGATTTTTGGTTTTTTGCTGTTTACAGTACAAGAGGGGAAGGCTATTTAATTCAATGTCCACCAGACCATATACCTAGGCCCTGGGAATTCCCATGCCCCTCTGCTCTCTGCCATGCCACGCCTCTAGCCGGAGTGCCTGAAAGTAGCCCTCATGTTCTCAGGTTCTCATGTTCTACTCTGGAGTATTATTTCAGTCAACCCCTGCAGGGCATCACCCAGGTAACAAACACACAGACCCAGGTGTGTCTTCTGCTCCTGCCCACTCTGATTCTTTGTGCTTTATAAGTCCTCAGGCCACTGCTTACGGTTCCAATTCCTTGGGTATAGGACCCACACCACACACAAGCACTGAGCACACCCCACGAGTGCGGTCGTACTGCACATACACACCCAGTGAAGCATGAATTTCATGCAGTGAATAACTTTTTAACAAGTACTCCTACCCCACGAATTTCAAGGTACC